AAAAACCCAAAAACCATTGATGCTTACAACATTGGATTCAGTTCAACTCTGAAGAGAAGTACTCATCACCCTCTTCATTGTTGAACTCAACCATGTCTGCATTGATAGCCCCATTCTGTTCTCCCAGCAGTGTTGATGTCTTCTGGATTAAGCCTATGTCTATGCTCAAGGAATCTGGCAGTGTCCCTGCCCTTGCTAGTCTGTCTTTTCCCATATGTGGCAGTTTGTAGTTGTTGCTTCCTTCATGTTCCATGATTTTAGTTAAAACCTGCTGGTAACTCAACCACACCTTGTTTAGGGTTTCTGGACTTAGAGCATTATATGCTCCTTCCACTGCATCTAACAGTTCAGCTACTGTACTTGGAGCACACTGGTCTTTTAAAGATTGAATTGCTCTGAAAAATCCAAGGTCTAGGACATTTAAGTCTGGGGAGTTGGGGGGTTGGTTACATAGGGTGATCTGAAATCCATTGTTGTTACCTGCTGCCACAAAGTCTGTGTCTATTCCTTGAATGTGTGGCCTTGCATTGTCTTGTTGAATCTGTATGATTTTGGATAACTGTGATGGCCACTTTTCTTGGATAGCTGGAATTACTGTATTGATGAGCATTTCCTTTGTGATTTGTTTGGTAACACTGGTGATTGCTTTCACCTCTACCACCCCCCTTTCCCTGTTCTTGCTCTTCCTTTTTTCCTGCATTTTTTCTGTGAAATGAAATATCCCTACTTTTCCATCCCACAACAGTTCTTTATTCTCCCCAAAAAGTGGTCTCCCAACCACACATAAGAACATAACTTTTGCTATGAATCTTTTTTATTTACATGCTCTGTATGGATCTTCCTCTTCTGGAAGGAGATAAAATTTCTGGGAAGTTTTTGACATAAAGAACCATTTCTCATCAATGTGCAAGACATTGTGAAAACTCTTAAACGTAGGGCTGCTGGGAATGGTATGAGGTTCTATCTGATCTAAACAGAACCTTAACCTAGAAATCTTATTAGCTTCTGTAAGGTACGGTTTGATAGCATTAGAATGGCTCCTAAGCATACCTCTCTTTACCCACTCATGAACTGTGGACTTAGGCTTCCCAATGGTTGCTGCTAATGCTCTCAGATTGGTCCTCTTTCTTAGAGGAGTGTCTGCAACTACTTGTAAATCCATGAAAGCCCTCTTCTTGCCACTGTTTCCTGCAATCCTGCTGCTCACATCGATGGCAACCCCATCCTCTAACTGTTTTTTTACAATAGCCCATATCCTGCCGACTGTTTTTCGAGAGACATTAAACTCTGAAGCGAGTTTGTTGATTTGCCCATACTGAGCTGAAAATGTACCATCAGGATTCTCTTTGCAATGACGTAGTAGTGCTTCACCAATCAACTGCCTCGTTGTGTTCTCCAAATTCTTGGAGTTTTTGTCTAAACTCATTTACGTGTTTACGTGCAGGCCACCGGAAAGACGTGAGGAAAACAACAAAAAGAACAAGAAAATGAAAAAGGGCATGAAGAAGAAGAATGGCAGATTTGGGTGCTGTGACTGGTTTCTAAAAGGGGAATATGCTTGAAGAATGTGGCTGCTAAAAATGGAAAGTGCTGAAGTGGGGGTTTTAAAGTGATGTAATATCCCATTTTGAAAGGGTTTTAGGGGTAGTTTTGGGCGGGTAGTTAAAAAAATGGGGGGAATATGAATTTTTTTTGGTGTTTTGGATTGTAAAGTACACTTTTTCCACTTTCTCCCAATGATTGCAAATAGTGACCTTTACTTTATGTTCCATCCGCCACTTTCTCTTCTTTCTTATCCCCATCCCCTTATTTTTAAAGCAAGGGTAAATTAGACATTTCAAAACCTCTTTCCACTCCTCTTAAAAATAAGAAAAAGTCAAAGTGGGACTATCATTCCCGGACGGAGAGAGTAATATTTAAAGCTTTCGTTTGCTATTTTGAAAAAGAAAGAGAAGTATATAAAAGGAAAAGGACTTTTATTAGCATGTTATATAATGGAGCATTAATAATATTCCATATAGAGTAAAACAATTCTAATCCTTTAATATAATATTTGAGAGTTTGATGTCTAAAAAACTGACATGTGGCATTTTTAGACTTCTATTTTTATGACACGTAAGGTTCCACGCGTCTTCCTATCACTTCTACGGCCAAACATGGAAGCCTTTCCTAAAGATAGAAATTGTCCGTCTTCTTCGCTTCTCCAGGCTGACTTCTTCATCGCGCAAGATTCTTCACCAAAAAATAAGCTGATTTTTCGAATTATTTCTGCGCCAAAAGAAAGGAATTCTACACCGACGAAAAGTCTCGAAATTTTGAAAATCCCTGATTGCAATCTGAAATTTTCAAGGATTCAAGAACTAGGTTTGTTTCTAAAATTCACATGCAATTTTTATTCAATTGAGAACTTCATGTATTCTGATTCTTGACTCTTGATTTCCATGTTTGCGATCCCAATTATATTCTCGAGTTCCCCAATATTTTTTGGTAAATTCAATTGGTATTTTTTTATTGATTTATGTTTCCCCAAATTCCTAGGGTTTAAATTCGGTATTTCTATTGATGCCAATATATTTTTTCACGCATTTCGAGTTTCAAGTCTCTGTTTTGATCTCCAAATATTTTTTTCCAATTCTGATGCCAACATTTTTTTCCGATTTTGATTTTTTCCAAATACCTGTAAAACTATAATTCAGTTTCAAGTCCCTTACAGAAATGTTGAGTAACCTGTAAAAATAGCCATTAGAGTTGTGCCTGGGAAGAGACATAGTCTTGAAAAATATAATAATTATATTCTGATAAAAAGTTATTAGTAATGGTCTAACAAATATCAAGCTAATCCTTCTGCTTAAAAATGCTGAATGGTAGATAAAATTCTGGTCTATCCAACCAACAATAAGAGAAACTATATTCTGAAATATTTTGAAATCTGTAGGAATTAGGAAACTCCCCGGCAATACACATTCCGTTTGGGTTCCTACTTTTTTTACCCCACATCTTTCACCGCACAATGTAGTGTATGATTGTCGTATTTCTTTATAATAAACGTTTAGATACCATAGAAATGTGATTCCGTGTCTAGCACAACTGAAGCAACCAACTCATCATTATTTGTGTAAAATGACAATGGTGTTAGATTTGTAGTTTAATACGGAGTACCACATACTTAACAAATAATCTTTTACTCTTTATTCCTTTTTTTCTTTTGTTCCCCTCATGTCTTAACACTTGGAAAGTATTGCAGCAGTGATTGTTCTGATATCTTCTTCCCCAAATCTGACTATTTTGAAAAACTATGCCCAGGCCTACTCTTTGGGATAAGACTGTTAGTGAATATATGAAGCAAAAAAAAGAACAATTAATGGCTGGTCATTGTTGGTGTTTCCACTTCAAACTTGGTGAAGCATTACTCAAGTAAGGGTTTTTTAGGGTTTTTTATCTTGAACTCTGCCTCTTTGATTCTCATTGTATATTTTTGGGATGAATACACATATAATGACTTAAAACAGCCCTGATTCTTCTCTCTGTCCTGAATGTTTGTCACTGCAAATGTTGATTTTAGTAAGGAGGGACAATGAGCATGTTGTTTATCTGCATTCATCACATCTAGGAGGCCTTATATGCATAAAGAACTGCAATAAACTGTCCACTTAAGCATATTTAGGGGCTGATTTCTTAGTTTTTAAACCGGGCCAGTTTGGAATGCATTTATCTTCCTGAGATTCTGCATATTTTAAGCACTCCAGTTTATTAGTGTTCTCCCTTCTTCTGCTGACTCAACATCACAGGTATATAGTCCTTTTTTTTCACTATAAGACCAACAAATTCAATCGAGATGGTCTTCGTGGATGAACATTTTACTTTAAAAAGTTTATTTTTAGGTACTCTTGCATTAAATTAATTATAGAGATCCTTGCAACGATTTTAAGAACAATAATATCAATTTAAAGATTAACATATTTATTGTTATATTTTGTAACTTTGTATGCATATGTAAAAATCTCTGATAGACAGTGATGTAAAGTATTTGCTTTATGATGTTAAAGATACACTCAAATTGCTTATTAACTTAAAGCTTAAGGGAACTTACATTTTGTAATGAAATGAGTCTTATGTATTTGTTGTTTGAACTTTTTGTTTCTTTTTGAGTTTATTCGGTGTTATAGTTCCAATAACAAAATTGCTTGCTCATGTATCTATGTATGGTGTGAAAGCAGAACATTCACTACAAAAAAAGGAGGCAATACCGACAGGGGTCAATCTGTCGCTAAACATTGAATATCTGTCGCTAATCGCTTTTACCGACACATAATTGTCTGTCGCTATGCTGTCGCTAAAAACTCCGTCAGTAAAAGTATTACCGACAGATAAAATAGGCTGTCGCTAAAATAATGTAATAGCGACAGACCAAAGATGTCGCTAAAAAAGAAAGAAGTACCGACAAAACATATATGTCGCTAAAACATGGATTACCGACAAAAAATAGTGTGGGTAAATCCTTCTTTTCTGTCGGTAATGCCTTGTTTTTACCAACATTTACATTTATTATAACTGTCGCTAAAAGTTAGATTACCCACAAAAAATCACATGAGTAAAATATTTTTTTCTGTCAGTAATAGTTTATTTTGACAAACATTACCATTTATTATAATTGTTACTAATACCATGGTTCACACCAGCATGCTCTATGTAAGTTATCAAAGAATATTATTGACAAATAAAAAATAATATTCATACTTGTATTAACATAAATACATAATAGAATAACTGGTCAAAGGGTTACAACTAACACATTTACTAGAAAGTAAACCAAAATCTCAAGATTAGTTTATCATTTGCACTTTCAAGCTAAAGTATAAAGAGTCAAAGTGAACTAAATTAAAATACATGTTGCTATGGAAGATATTGTCCAAAGCTTGAATGCTCGTCACTGTATACATTTTCAAGTTCAGTGCTCTCAACTTCATCATCGTTGTTCCATCGATCATCATGACTTTTCTCAGGGGTTGTATTACCATCAATTGTAAGGTCATCAATTTCAGATTGATTAGTCGTTGAACCCTATGCAAAAAAAATAAACTATAAGCACATGATAACATAATTACAAATTTTGCACCAAATTTACCTTACACTCATGCTAGGTGTCAATACTTTAAACTATATAATGAACGAAGCAAAAATCAAATAAGATATGGGTAGTTAACAATGATAGATAGAGACTAACCATGGCATTTAAAACCAATGATACCACATCTTCTAAATTCCGGAGTCTTTCTTTTGATTTTCATGCTCTTGTTAAATTTTCAAGCGTCAATCCAAAATATTGACTCAATTGATTGGGTAGCACAGTCTGGCTAAGTACACAATCGGTGACATATGTGACTATGGAATACTTAACGATGTGTCCACTTAATGATGAATTCGTTATGATGAGATCATTTGGTTCAACCGAGAGCTCACCCTTACACACTTGACACCAATTCCAGCTCCAAGTGCATTAAATTGTTGACAGATTTGAACTGCAAGTTCTCTGGAAGAGGAGATAAAGACAACTCAGACAATGAGGTCATAAAAGGAACTTAGGAGAAGTAAAAGAAGCCACAAACCTAGTCAAAGAAAGCACGCACGCAAAGAACGCGTAGCTATTGGGCGGATCGGCTGGGGATGCTTTGCGGGTAGGAGTGCTTGCATTATGGGAATTGCAAAACCTCCAGTCTTTCCTTAGCCCGTCGTCTGTGCAACCCCAATTATATCTCTCCCTTAACAACAGATACCAATTTCAATTACTGTATTTATTTAGAACCTCAACAAATATTGCATGAAACTTAAAAAACAAACTAAAAATGGGATGAACATTTAAGAGCATGAGGAATAACCTCAGCTTGAACCTTAGAAGCGGTTTTCCCGCCCAAATTATGGCAAGCCTCCATAAGTTGTCCGCCCAAATTCCGCCGGACCAACCAAGCAGCCCCATACCCCAACCCCGGGCCCACCAGGGAACTGTCCACTACTGGGCGGCCCTGTTGCCACCCGGGGCTTGACAAATCGGGCCCAAGATCATCCAACAGTCACCCATCAACCACAACTCAATCCAAATATACCCAATTATAACCCAATAGCATCCAATTAATTCCAGATCAACCCATTTACATACAATTGAACCTAAATCAGCCCAATTGCATCCAATTGGAATCCCAGACAGCCCCAAGGTAATCCAAGCTGACTCAATTACACCCAAACAGACCCAATTAGACCCGATTAAACCTAATTAAGCCCAAGTGGACCAATTTGGGCTCAATTCAAACTGCCCAGTACTATTCCAAAACCAACCGACCCACTACCGCCATTCCATCAGCGACCCGCAAGGAGTTTCGCCGGAAAATCCAACCCAACACAATCCCCAATCAATTGAACATCTAATTGACGGCCCAATTACACAATCAATTGCACGATCTATGCAAATACGATTCTAATCTACAAATTAACGCTAATGATAGACATATGAACATGACTCACCTTGATAATCGGGGGAATTGAAATTAGGGTTGAAGAACCGGCGCTACAAATTCCGCCGGCGTTGCTGCACGAAGAGCGAGAACGGAAGAACGAAGAGGACGGCGACTTAAGATGGCGGCGATGTCCAGCAATAATGACGACGGAAGAATAAAAGAGAGTCGGCTTCCTATCTGGTTTATCGCTCGACAGAAAAGAATGGAAGGGAAAATCGGTGATCCGGCGGAAAAGAATTATAACTGCGCAACTCCTTGTTACTTTACCTGCGCAACTGCTATCTGGTCCAATAACATTTTCCTAACTTCAATTAGGATTAGTTTGGGTCCAATTACCTGTGATTAGTTTCAGTATTTTTTTATTTATTTATTTAATTTAGTTATAATACTAAGGCGGGTTTTGGACATTATAACTAGGGGTGAGCAAATTATCCGGACCGACCGTTAAACCGAAAACCGAAAACCGGATTAACCGCTAAATCGGTTTCGGTTTCGGTTTTACATTATTAAAAATTTGGTTTGTTCGGGTACTTCGGTTCGGTGTCGGTTTTGAGCATCGGTTTATTCGGTTAACCGAATAACCGATATATATATATATATATATATATATATATATATATATATATATATATATATATATATATATATATATATATATATATATATATATATATATATATATATATATATATATATATATATATATATATATATATATATTCTAATTATTTAATATGAATTTTTAAAAGTCCAATAGGAAGTCGGCCCAATAGCAAAGCCCACTCAATTATCTAAAACCAATTTGGAGTTGCCGGTTGTGTTCCTCAACGCGATTGGGATTGGGATTCCAATCTTAGGTTTTGGTCGCTACTCCGCGTCTCCACCTACTCTACTCGCGATTCCCGTCTTCAAAAGCTTCTGCCTTTGCGTTCTGATTGGGATCGAGTCCAAGCCTATGCGATTCAGCCTTCATCGATGNATATATATATATATTCTAATTATTTAATATGAATTTTTAAAAGTCCAATAGGAAGTCGGCCCAATAGCAAAGCCCACTCAATTATCTAAAACCAATTTGGAGTTGCCGGTTGTGTTCCTCAACGCGATTGGGATTGGGATTCCAATCTTAGGTTTTGGTCGCTACTCCGCGTCTCCACCTACTCTACTCGCGATTCCCGTCTTCAAAAGCTTCTGCCTTTGCGTTCTGATTGGGATCGAGTCCAAGCCTATGCGATTCAGCCTTCTTCGATGAGAATTCAAGACGGCGACACCCACGCTGCAATCCTTCTTTAATTCTTTGTCCTTCCCTTCGAGTAAGGTTATATCCCAATTTGTGCTCCATATTTAAATTTATTATATTTTTCATTGGATAATTGGAACAAATGAGATGTTTTCTTCTTTGTGTTATTCTCTTCTTTGTATATCTTGTTTGTGTTAAAAATTTTGATCGAGACTTGGAGCAAAGTCAGCAAACAACATTTTTCTAAATCTGTTTTTTAAAATTTCAGTTTTAATTATTTTTTTACAAACGAAGAACTAATTTTTTATGTAAGTCAATGAACTGTCTTTTAATAAAAAAATTTACCAAGTAAATCTACATTTATGTATTAATCATATCTACAATTATTAAATATTACTTTTTGTACTAAATAAATTTGTAATTTTTTTTTACTAATTCTTAAGTCTGCATTTTTTTACTAATTATACTTCTAGGTGCCGTGCAATTCGGTTTTTAATAACCGACCGAAATTGGGTCGGTTTAGTCGGTTTCGGTTTCTCGGTTATTCAAACACACCGGTTCGGTTTCGGTCGGTTTTTTTATACCAAAAAAAATTCGGTTAGATCGGTTTTGGCCCAAAACCGACCGAACCGACCCGATGCTCACCCCTAATTATAACTTTGGGACACAATTAAAATTAAATTGAAAAAAATGGTTTTTATTATTAGAAATTTTAAATTTTAGTGTTTAGTTCCTTCAAAAAAATTAGTGGTTAGTTTATGTTTTTTAAGTTTTTTAATTTAAGTGTGCCCATTTTCAAAAAGGTCTCGGCGAGACCCACTAAAGCCCGATCGGTCTAAGACCTATCGGAATCCATCTTTAACCCAAAATCTTGCTTTTTAGATCATTGATTTTGTAGTTTTGTCTTTTTAAGTCTTTTCCTACTTGTTTACAGTTTTTTAGCTATAAATGCCCTACTTGTGAGCCGTTTTATACAGACTTGGTATGACAGTTACTTCAGTTTTTGGTTTCCGGTTTCATGGTCAATTCCCTGATTTTTGGTTTCCGATTTGCGGTTGACCGTCATATAATCTCTACTTTATTATTCTACATCAATAATGATGGGTATATCCTTATACCCGACCTGGATAACCAAAAGGGACAGGTCAAATTATGACCGGTCACTTTTATCAAGTCACCAAATGATGTTAACCCTTCGATTGGGACGGGTCAAAATTGACCGGTCACTTCCACTAAAAAAGTGACCGGTCACATTTTGAGCGATAGCCAAAATATCACCTAATGTTGCGAAGAATTCAAGAAGACCAAAGTTCTGAGCTGAGCTCAAGAAATGACCGGTCAACCTTTCAACAAAAAGGTGACCGGTCATATCATCTTACTTGACAAACATTGGTCCATTATCTCAGGCATGGTGAACCACGTCAAAGATCGAGGGACCACCCCGCCGTTCATCCATCACGAGACAAACAGTGAAAGGAACATTTGTCACTTTGCAGGGCTGATTGGATTGAGAATATCCATTTATAGTCTTTGATTGAACAGTACATGTCTTGGCTTGTAGTTGCTAAATTCATTCATTGAATAGTAGGATGATTATGTACAGTGACCTTCCCACGGGCTTCCTATTTTGTCCATGGATGAACAGGGGAAGGTCACAAACCCTCCTCTATAAATATGATGATATTGGATAGAGGAGAGGATCCATTCTTTCTCTCACTAAAAACTAGTACACTCTTGAGACAGAGAAAGAAATATATTTCGGACTGAGGAGATTTACCCGGTCTAGGTCATACTTTGTGTTCTTGTTGTGTGTTTTATATTACGGGTCGAGTGTCCAGGTCAAACCCGGTCAACCCACCCATCTATATTTACACCATCAAATAATATGAAATGGTTAATAATCTCTACTTTATTATTCTACATCAATAATATGAATAATTCTACATATCTCCACTAGCGTTTTCATTCCTCTCGTTTTAAATTTGTTGATTTGTTCTTCTATTCGGTGAGTTTAGTCCTTTAGTTTTAACTTATAACTTAAAAATTTGAAATTAAAAATTATAATTTTTAATTTGTAAATATTCAATGTAAAAAAAAATTATTTTTAATCTTTAATTTTTAGTTTTTTATCTTTTAAAATTATAATTCATTTAATCATTTTTAATATCATATATTTTTGTGCGACCAAACAACAAAATTCAAATTGAGGTTTTTCATTTCCAATTTCGTGACCTCAATTTCATGCACTAAATGATGCCCAATTTTATGGTTTTTTTATAATTAAGATATTTAAATTAAATGTCAATAAAATCAATACCGACAGATAAAATAATGTTGCTAAAACCATAAACAATACCGACAGATAAGTTGTTGTTGCTAATACTATAAACGATACCGACAGATAACTTTTTTGATGCTAATACTATAAACAATACTGACAGATAAAGTTTTGTTGCTAAAACTATAAGCATTACCGACAGATAAATGTTTGTTGCTAAAACTCTAACTTATAGCGACAGATATTACTCTTTCTGTGGGTCATTTAATTTTTTCCTTCAAATAATTTTATCTGTCGGTAATATTCTCTTTTTAGCGACAAATAAGGTTTCTGTCGCTAAGGATCTGTCGGTACTGCCCTCTTTTTTTGTAGTGATTATTTGGCTATAAAAGAGTAAATACTTTTGTTTATTCATAATCTTCTTAGTTTTATTTAAATGATTAGTTTTACATATTGTGCCTTATAAATTAGTTTTGTTTAATCCTCTTCATCATGATGTAGCAACGTAGGACAAGTTCAAATTTAGAAAGTGATTTATTCATAAAGAGATTAGTTTTGTTTATTCCTTCAAAATTTATTCTTTTCCTTTTTACCAAATTCGTGAACCAAACATAGTGTAAATGTGTAAGCTTATCTTAAGTCGCTTCATCATTTGTATCATCTTATAAGAGTTTGCGCTTAGCATAGATATAAATCTAAAAAAGTGCATATTTTCTGTATTTTAATCATTTTAAAGCACCTTTGATATATGAAGAGTTGATGTTTATGTTTTGTCACGTGAAAAGATGGCAATCATTAGGGACACTTGCCAAAATTCCAATGAATTGTAGGTGACATGAATCATTAGAAGCACTTCGTTATGTACTTTTTCAATTTTGTTACAAAATATTAATTGATATAATATTGTTTATTCTACTTTGTTGCTAATGTATATTATTAAAAAATCATGTTACAAATATATTTTCTATAATCCGTAAAAATATTACATTGTAAATTTTTTTTTGAATTGACAAAAAATTCGTTTAAACCCGTGCGTGGCACGGGTTAATATACTAGTTCTAATAAAAGTTATGCTTTAAAAATAGCGTCATCCCACGTCATTAGTTTCTTGCCAAATAGATTGCCACATCATGTTATCTCCTCCACTTAATTTTTAAAGAGAATGAAGAAAATGAAAAGTTAAATCCACATATTACTCAAGGCATTTTACTCATTGAGTTTAAAAAAAACAAGCAACGTTTAAAACTTTAAATTCTATTATCTTTTTTATTGTAATTTTAAATACAGAATAACCATTATTTTAATATTTATTTCATAAAATCCTTTAGTTTCTAACTATTGAAAAATATACAAATTTCAATTTTTAAAGGTTCATATGTATGTTATATTAAAAAATTAAAATAAATTTTATTAAATAAAAGTACCAATCTAATAATAATTATTTTAAACTATTCATCATTTATTTTGTTACTTCATAGAAAATACTATTTCGAATTATCTACATTATTTATTTCAACATTTTTTATCCTATTACATTATTGTAGTAATATGAGCTAAATGTTAAAATATTAAAACAATAGAATTTTAAACAATAATATTTAAGAGAATATAATAAAAAATGGAAACATAAAAATATTGTTAGAAAATTACAATAAATATATTTATTTTTATAAAATATTAAATTCAAAATATATACGAGCTCGTGCGAAGTACGGAGTTAAAACTAGTCTTTAAAAAAAACGGACCAGAAACACTAAAACATACCCCGGCCCGGAGTAAGTAATTTCTCGCTAACTTAAATTTTTTTATTCCCTAAATTAGACTTAAATATTGTGGGGAGATTCCCCTTAGGCCCCGTTTGGTATACGGAATTCAAAGTATGGAATTGGAATTGATGACTTCAATTCCAATTCCGGTGTTTGGTAACACAAAAATTATGTGGATTTGGAATTAATAGTGTAAAAAATGAATTGGAATTGACAGAATTCAATTCCATGGAATTGAATTTCATGGAATTTCAATTCAATTCCAATTCCGTCAATTTCATATACCAAACGGACCCTTAGAATATTGCATTTAAAATTTCAAAAATAAATACAATAGATCGCCCAGAGGGTCATTTAGGGTCCGTTTGGTATACGGAATTGATGGAATTGAAATTGAATTGGAATTGAAATTCTATGAGATTTAATTCCATAGAATTGAATTCACTAATTCCAATTCATTTTTTGCAATAACAATTCCAAATTCACACAATTTTTGTGCTACCAAACACCAGAATTGTAATTGAAGTCTTCAATTCCAATTCCGTAGTTTGAATTTCGTGTACCAAACAGGGCCTTAGGGTCATTTAAAGGGTGGACTTGGGCATGCTTTTCTTCACACAGATGGCCCCAACCTCTTTCTCCTATTCTCTTGCTTGTGCACCATGAAGCACGCTTATCTTCTAGCCGCATTAGCGGTGCTCGTGCATTCCGGCATTAACGGTAGGCTCCAGGAGCTACTTCATCTATAGTTTCAAACCCTCCACTTGGATTATGGCTGTAGATGCATGTTTCACACACAACATTAATTACAAGTCTACGTACCAATTAAGTGTTTGATTAGACATTATTGAATTTGTTTCGTACAAATTAAACAAAGAGCTCGGCCGGGCTTACCAATTAACAAGCTTTTAATTTTGACATCTGTGTTGTCTACCGTGAAGCCGGTGTAGCTCGAATCAAACTCTCCCTTGGCCATCAACTTCTTGTCCGACGGAGGGTGTCCATGTCCAGAGCGTGGATGTTGAGTGAGGCTATTAGGGCGGCGGCGGCGGCCGCCAACTCCTCCTTCTCGACCTCATACGGTGGCGGCAGGTGCCTCATCACCGCCACCAACACAGCCACGATTAAGGCGGCTAGAAGATAAGCGTGCTTCATGGTGCGGGCCGAGAAGACAGATGGTCGGAGATGAGGAGGAAGAAAGGGGATTGGAGGGAGAAGTGAAACAAGAGAATAGGAGACAGAGGTTGGGCGATCTGTATGAAGAAAAGCATGCATGCCCAAGTCCACCCTTTAAATAACCGCAGAGTATGGAGGATAGTGACTAAGGTCCCCTTCCGTTCAACTTATTTTTTCTTATTTTTTCTTATTCTTATTAGAATAAGATCATATCAGATCAGACCAGATCAGATCAGATTGAATCAGATCAGATCAGATCAGATTGAATCAGATCAGATCAGATCGAATCAGATCAGATCCAATCAAATCAGAGCAGATCCAATCAGATCATATCAGATCAGATCAGATTAGATCAGAACTTATTAAAATCAGATCCCATCAAGAATTATTATTATTATTATTATTATTATTATTATTATTATTATTATTATTATTATTATTATTATTATTATTATTATTATTATTATTATTATTATTATTATTATTATTATTATTATTATTATTATTATTATTATTATTATTATTATTATTATTATTGTTCTTAAAAATGAAAAAGAATAAACTTTAGAAATAGGTTAAATAGAAGACTGAGAAAGTAATCCTTAATTATTAGACGTCGGAAAAATTAGTTTTAAAATACATTAACAGTGGCAGTTTAATTCTACTTTTAAAATATATTTTTATTGCTACTTGTAATTTGAGTTTCTAAAGTTTTGATCTTTTATAAGGATGAGATATTTTAATAAAAATACTATCTCTTCTATATATTGATTATCTAAATTTAATAACTTTTTAATGTATATCTAAATTAAATATTTATTCTAATGTATATATGAAGTAATTATTAAAATATTAAACTAATATTCTAATATAAAAAAATAATCATAAAATAAAAAATATTATTACATTATAATATGAATGATTATTCTAATATATGAATTAACTATTTTTATTTTATTAAAAAATAATTATTAAATAAAAAATATTGATTATATTATACTATGAATTATCATTACAATTTTCAAACGTTATTATAAAGTCAAATCAAATTATTAATTTTAAATTTTAAATTAAATCATAATTAATCAGATCAAATCCAATCAAATCAGATCAGATCTAATCAGATCAGATCCAATCAGATCAGATCAGATTCAATCAGATCAGATCAGATCAGAACTTATTAAAATCATATCAGATCAGAAAAAATAAATTGAACGGAACAGAGCCTAAGCTAGTGAGATAGACCGGGTGCCAAAAAAAGGACAAGGGACAGATGGGATAGTTTTGTTTTACCATTTGTACATTTCAATTCACAAATAACTACTCTCTCTGTCTTTAAATAAAATTCCGTTTTAACTTTTTGAGGATTTAAGGAGTATATTTTAGTGTTGACTTTCCAAAAAAACCCTTGATGTGATGTGTAAAAGTAAGATGTGATATGTAGATTATTAGTAAAAAGGTATGATGTGATACGTAGGGTATGAAAAAGTAAGGGATAAAAGAGATTTTTTAAGGAAAACGAGAAGTTTATTTGAGGTGAAGAAAAAACAAAAAGAAAGTTTATTTAGGTACTGAGGGAAGATTTTTTTAAAGGAAAGTTGATTTAACTACCCTTCTTACGCATGCTTCCTTCGTATTGGGGTCAAAACTAGCATCAACATTATACATTTAACTATTCCTTCTTCCGTGTTTTAGTTTAACGCAATACAACATCGTTTTTTGGAACGGAGGGAGTATTATATTAATTCATAGAATCCATAAGTAAAGCATCACAAATCCCAGCTGGAGGGACATACGCCAACTCCGGAAAATCAGACGACCTAACAATCACGGGGAGAACCTGATTCGTTGATCGCCTAATAATACACGTCCATGAAAAATAAGAAAATGAACCTCATTTCGCTGTAAAGTCTGATAGACTATCAAATTGTTCATCTCAATAACAATTTGTTGTAGACTCGTAATCCAAAGGGGTCTTTGAGCCATTTGAGTGCCTCTTGGGTTCCTATTGCCTCCACCATGAGAGGGTTTTCCAGTTTTTTTCCAAACCTTTTTGAAGCTCCGCACACACATCCACCCATACCATCTCGCACCACCATTCCTACGCATGCTTCCTTCGTATTGGGGTCAAAACTAGCATCAACATTATACATTTAACTATTCCTTCTTCCGTGTTTTAGTTTAACGCAATACATGAATACAACATCGTTTTATCGTTTTGTCAACCTTGCGAAAAAGAAAGAAAAAAAACTGTGCGGAAAAGAATGAAAAAACAAACGAGGATGGGGTTTTGAACCTTGGGATTGGGGTGGGTCAGATGAGATCCACACCACTAAACCAAATGCTTAACGTATTACTTTAAGATAATCGTTTTTTATATATTGGTGTAATAATTTTACAAATCTAATACCTATAAGGACCTACACTAGGATCCGTGGGATCCCGGGACCCCACAAAACTCAAGGTGGGCCTGCCTCTGGTTGTGGTACATGAATTTGTTTTAGATTCTAACACGACACTCACATGCAAGTGTAGTCTTTTTAGTCTTAAATATAGTTTTCAAAATCAGACTAGGGACCGAACCGTCCTAGATACTGGTTCAATTCACTGGTCAAACCGGTGGTTCGAGTGGTCAAACTAGTGGTTCACGTATATTTGAGAATTACAGATGCGACGGATTCCAAAACTAGTGGTTCACCAATATTTTTATCGTGAAATATAACATCAAGAGATTTTGTCTTTCGAGTATGGGAAGGGATTCGATAAACCCTTATAGCTATCAATTTGGTCATGAATGTGACAAAACTTTAATCAATCATATCAAGTGTTGACCACATACCCATGTTTGTATACCTCTGTTTGTATAAAAAGCGTGAACAATATATCATCAAGAAATAGATATGTTTTCTCCGCAGCACGGGGTGTGCCGCTATTTATACAAATAATTTAATTCCATGAAGGAAATAAATTTTTAAAAAAAATTTTATTTTGCAAACTTCCTTTATTTACCATCAATTATCGGAAAATTTTTATTTTCCTTTTATTTGCACGTGAAGGCTTATTTAATTCTTACCATATTTATTTATTTCCTTCTTTAATTATAATAATATAAGTATTTAATTTTTACCATTTTTGAATGCTTAAAGTAATTATTTAATACTTATTCTTACCATTTAAATTTTTTTACTTATTTAATTTTAATAAAGTGATTATTTTAATTCTTACCATTTTTTTTTAATTCGTTCACGATATGATTTTCTCTTGTGCAATTGAAGACTTATTTAATTATTACATATTTGTTTATTTATTTCCTCCTTTAATTTTAATTATGTAATTATTTGATTCTTAACATTTTTTAATTTTTAACAAAATGATTTAATTCTTACCATTTTGTTAATTCTTACCAGTTTTCTCTCTAGCATTTATTTATTTAATTCTTACCATATTTATTTATTTCCTCTAATCTTTTTATTCTAATGTTGTAATTATATAATTCATTCTATATACTTTAATACTTACCGTATGGTTTCCTCTTACACAATTGAAGGCTTATGTAATTCTTGCCATTTCTATTTATTTCCTCCATTAATTTTAATAATGTAATTTTTTTAAATCATACGATTTTTCTTATTACCTTATTTAAAAAAATTTCATTCCGTTAATATTAGTTCAAAATAGTAATTGTTACGTTTGATATTACCATATTGTTTAAATCACCACATTAAATAACATGTGTTTTAATTCTTATTTTCCATTAATAGAATACTATAATTTGGTATTATATTACCGTGTATAATAGCCGTAGATTAAACAGGGAAGATCAAAATCAAGGGAGAAAGACCAAAGTAGGATTAAAACATAGAAGATATACCAAAATAGGACTTCCATGTTTTTATTCCCGAAATAGGACTTACATTACCAAACATGGTCATATACATTACCAAGAAAGTATAGTAATTTGCACATGTACACTGCCACATTACCACAATGCAAAGTCACATTACCACAATGCAAAGTCCTATTCCGGGAAAAAAAACATGAAAGTCCTATTTTGGTACTTTTATCTATGTTTTAGTCCTATTTAGGATGATTTCTACAAAATCAAAGGTACAGAATTGTGGTGCTTTGGGTGGGAAAAACATGGTGCATAATTCCCCTGCTTTTAAGAATAAGATTAGCAAAAATAAGTAAATAAAGTAAATTAATTTTGACATTGTGAATAATGTCTGGAAGGATATATTTAAGAAAGGATTTGTATTTTGTTTGGAATAAAATTGGTCCGATCGTTACTCTAATTGGTTTAGAATTTTTTTTGGAGAGGCATTCCAATCCAATTTCAGTCATAATTCAAAATTTAGAATTTGTCCACCTTTTTACTACATTTTCACGGTTTGGGAGTTTACCCATCCCGATTCATTGAAATTAGTTTTTGAGTAAATTCCATAATTGGTCCTTTATAACAAGGGGGTTTCCATATTTAGTCTTCTATTATCAAATATTACCTCCGTAGTCCTTTTTTAAAGGGTACTTTTCCATAAATGGTCTTTTTTTTGATCTTCTACCATGTTGGTGTTAATTTAAAGCCTAAAAATATAATTTGACGTCAACATTATGTCTAGTAACGTGATCTGATATTAGTTAAGTAGATAACACAAAATAATGACTATGATTGTAGGCTAGGATTCTGACGAAAGATCACATTTGTAGACTATAATTGTCGTAAAAAGTGACTGTAATTCACAAACGATGCAAACGGAACAACCTTTGGAATTGTGTATGACAAAAAAGATATATTATCATTGTGAATTTATACTTTTAGCCCTCAAATTAACACCAACATGATAGAAGATCAAAAAAGGACTATTTGTGAAAAGGTACACATAAAAGAAGGACCAATTAGATAATATTTGATAATAGAGGAGTAAATAAGGAAACCCCCTGTTATAAAGGACCAATTATAGAATTTACTCTTAGTTTTTTCACCTATCCATTGTTTGGCCCATTGGTGATTGAGATTTCTCAAAATGGTTAAGTGACTCCGCCCCATCCTTTCCCACTTCCTCTTTTTGTTGGAACCTTTTGTATGAAACTACTTAGCACACTGTCCAAATAAATGGGGTAGGAGTAATGGTATAACACTGTGGTAAAACCATAGTTAACCATTTTTTATGGGAAAAGTAAATTTAAAATAAAAATCGGTATTACTAATATTAATGTTAAAATATGTAAGAAAAAATAAGAATAAGTGTAAGTCACAAATATATTATTATAAATACAACTTGAAACATAAATATATCTTGAATTTGTAATATATTACGGAGTATTATAAATACAACTTTAATCTTTTGATAATTTTTTCACAATCCAAATTCAACCCTAACTCAAAACATAAATGTATCTAAATTTGTCAATATTTTGGTAAGTTTTTCACATGGACATTAACCCATCCTGGTGTTTCCGAGGCAGACGTGGAGGCATCGAGGCTAAACCAGCATCGAGTTTTCAAAGGAGTGGTTTCTTTGTATTTTGCAAGAGATGAATAAGGTTTCCAAATTCTTTTTGGACCAAAATAAAAGTATAATAGTAGTGTGATATAAGAATATACGTTGACAGTGTGATTGAAAAATAATGATAGTTATATGATAGTGTTATTAGTTAACAATCGCCAATGTGCAACGACACTCTAGTGTTAGGGAGGAGCAAGAACCGAACCGATTCCAATATTTCCTGAAAAAACTAAGAATACTGAACAAATAAAGTGCCTGTTAGAATATAAATAGCTGTTCCTGGGCCACAACCACAAGCTTGAGCTTTTGGTTGAATGGGTTCCTTGACATGGTATCAGAGCCTCGTTGACTAGGAGGTCACGGGTTCGAAACTCAGCGCCACCCAGTTTAAAAAAAATTAAGGTTTCACGCGCAAGGCTCAAAAAATGACTACGCCTGCACGTGAGGGGGCGTGTTAGAATATAAATAACTGTTCCTGGGCCACAACCACAAGCTTGAGCTTTTGGTTGAATGGGTTCCTTGACAGTACCGAAAAAAACCAAACCGTACCGAACGAAATGGTCGGCCTAGTATTTGGGAACAGTACGAGGTTACTTTCCATACCAAAATTTCCGAACCGAACATATATACTAATATATTATAAAAATAATAAATTTTTTATATTTCTTCATTAGATAAAAAATTTATATACACAATTTAGTTTAATTTCATTATGTTTAAGTTACACATAAAAATTAAGTGTAACTTAATTTGGTACAGTACAACGTAATTGGTACATTACAACGTAATTCGGGATCGGTACAACGTAAAATCCCATACCGAATCGAAATATTTGGTACAGTACGCTCACCCCTTGTGACAGTTGCAATAATGTGACAATATGGTGAATATGACAGTGTTACAATGACTAATATAAAGTCTTATTTTAGTCTTAAAAGACTTAGACTCCTATCTTGGTATTCTTATCTGTAGAAATATAATTAGAACTAAACTTGATGAATACATTGATCACAAACGCCTTATTTATACAAAAATAATTCTAACCTAATCACAAGCTCACTAACAGGCCCAATAATATCAAAACCTAATTACATCCGCTAACACTCCCCCTCAAGTTGAGCATGAGATTAACGAATGCACAATTGGACAATTAAAACAAAACTAAGACTAAAAAAACTTGATAAACAACTTGAACTTGATTTGCTGTGACAACAACAAACGAAGGTGACCGGCCTTGCAAACGAACAATAAATTTTAATGACGAATGACTCCCACGCGGTGACACGGGGACGACTAACAAGCATCCCAAACTTGGAGGCCGTGTTGCCGGACTGAGGCGCGACTATGCGACCAACCTCACAAATTGATATGTGGACTGAGGCGCGACTATGCGACCAACCTCAAACAAACATGCCGAACATACAGCTGGATGCACTTGAACATACCAAATAGCAACCAAAAAACAATGTCGCCAAAACGTCAACAAATTTTGATGAACAGTAGGGTTTGTCCACCCTACGAAGCATTATCCAAACCATTGTCCAAAGTGATGAACACCAAAATCATTAATAGCCAATGTTATGATTGGATGAACAAAAGCAAAATCTCCTGTGATGAATGAAATCGGCTGAAGGAATCACAAGAACAAATCATCAAATTAAATATTTTGAGGCGGTGAGTGGACTCCTGAGAGCAGATCTAGACTTCAAGCAAACTCGACGGTGACGCCAAACCAAGAACACAAACACAATCAGATCCGAAATTCGAAGCAGTGAATAGAGACAAATCAACGGGCAACAGCACTTTCACCAAACAGAACCGGGACAATAACAGAAGACGAGA